AAAGTGGTGGTGATCTCCGGGGGGGGGGGCAAGTACCGGTCCTCGAGACCCCAGTCGTCGGTTCGAATGAGTTTGGAAAAAAATTAGAACGATCCAAAAATGAAAATTATCAATAAATTGGGCAAATATCGCTAATGAAATGAAGTTTTGGATAATTTCATCCCGTCCACCACATTTTAACAGTTTGAGCAGCACCGGTGTAGTCGACGTAATTCCCCCCCCCAACCCCCAAATTTCGACTATACGCCCTTTCTTCCCTTACGAGACCGTGGTGTTCATTCAGCCCACCTCACCACACCCTCACTACGCCACTGAGCAAGCGATCAATGTAAAGTTCGCAAACAACAAAAGAAACTTACAACTCTGAGCTCCGCCTCGATCTCTTGGTGTTGGCTCAGATCGGTCTCCAGCGAGTTCGTGAAGAACTCAATGTCCGCCTCCATGTCCTCGACTCTATCCTCGCTGTCCCGCGTGGACGCGACCTCCAGCTTGTCGGCCTCTGCGCGCGCTCGCCGGATGGCCTCGTCGGCGAATTTCTCAATCTGGTGCAAGTCCATCTGCAGCTGTTTGAGTTCTTCGTACTTTTCATTGTACTGTCAATGAAGAGTTCAAAAAAAAAAATAATAATAATATGTATTTGGTTAAGGCGACAAATTTCCGGCCTACCGAATGTACCCGACAGTGGCTATTGTCTTCCACTTCAAAATAGTCTACACGCGAATGTCTCCAACTAAGAGCGTCTTATACATACGCACATCTCCATTTTTAGTCTGTCTTATACACACGTACGTCTCAGTTTGAGTGTGTCTTATACACACGTACGTCTCAGTTTGAGTGTGTCTTATACACACGTACGTCTCAGTTTGCGTGTGTCTTACACACACGTACGTCTCAGTTTGAGTGTGTCTTATACACACGTACGTCTCAGTTTGAGTGTGTCTTTAAAATGGTGTGAAGATTGTGTGTGTGTGGTTGTGGGGGGGGGGGAGGGAAGAGAAATGGTCAATTAAGTTTGAGTGATCCTGACATGTAAAAAAAAAGAGGTCAGCTTTTGTTTAAATGTGTTTTTTTTTTTAAACTGATTTCTAAATATAATAACTGCTTTAAAATCTGCTTGTAATGATGTATTTGTAAATAATATATTTTTGTTCAGTTTTTATTTATTTATTTTTTTTGCACTTCATTTGCTCCCTATACAGACAAGTCTTGATTACAAGCTGTCTGTTCTCTGTCACAACTTTTTCTCTGGTTCCTGCCCTTCCTATCTTACCGAACTTCTTACTGTCTATTCACCCCTTCGAAAGCTTCGTTCCCCCGCAGACGCGCGTATTCTTTCTGCTCCCAGAACACGCACTAAAACATATGGTGAACGGTATTTCTCTTTCTGCTCCCGTTACACATCCGAATATATAACGACCATCATAGCCTTCAAAACTGCCCCCCAAGACCCTTCTGTTCAAACTGTACTATACTGACTCATTCTCACCCCCTCTGACTAATAAACAACGCTCGATGCTGCTGGGCGCTGTCCATGGCTAGACAGGAGTCAATGGTACTTGGGTTGGCGAGGTCAAGCTTTTCACCAATTGTTGTTTTTCAATGTATACGTTTCTGTGATTGCTAATTTTTCTGTGAAGCGCAGTGAGCCTAGCCCTAGGCTGGGGTACTGAGCAGTGAGCCTAGCCCTAGGCTGGGGTACTGAGCAGTGAGCCTAGCCCTAGGCTGGGGTACTGAGCAGTGAGCCTAGCCCTAGGCTGGGGTACTGAGCAGTGAGCCTAGCCCTAGGCTGGGGTACTGAGCAGTGAGCCTAGCCCTAGGCTGGGGTACTGAGCAGTGAGCCTAGCCCTAGGCTGGGGTACTGAGCAGTGAGCCTAGCCCTAGGCTGGGGTACTGAGCAGTGAGCCTAGCCCTAGGCTGGGGTACTGAGCAGTGAGCCTAGCCCTAGGCTGGGGTNTTTTTTCCAAAACGGCCCCCCCCCCCCCAATCGCCCAACTTCCGCCTTCATTCGTTTCCCAGGTAACGTTAATGCGCATATTATTTTTTTTAATCGCAATTATCATCCCGGAAGTGATCGATATTCCTACCGTAAGGGGGCAGTCATCTTCCTGGGAGAGGCCAAACGCGGGTTATTGTACTTGCCTACCTGAGAAGATTCTGAGGTCTGGTTGATCAGCGCGAGCTTCTCCTCCAGCTTCTGTATAGTGTTTCGGTTGATTTTTTCCTGCTTCGTCATCTGGTCCACCCAGTGCGCCCGCTCCTCCAGATCCTCTGGTGTTGTCATGATCCGGTAGAGGAACAAGTCCTTCAGTTCGTCCATCAGCTCGAGTATGCTGCTGGACTTCGAGTCGACCTTGGCCTCCTTGTAGACCATCTCCATGGCGGACGGGTTGACGAGGAACTTTTTGAGCAGCGTTCTGAACGACGCAGCGAGCTGTGGATGGTGTAACAAACTGTGGATGGTGTAACAGACTGTGGATGGTGTAACAAACTGTGGATGGTGTAACAAACTGTGGATGGTGTAACAAACTGTGGATGGTGTAACGAACTGTGGATGGTGTAACAGACTGTGGATGGTGTAACAAACTGTGGGTGTTTTTGGACAAAATGTGAACAAACGTTGGATTGCTATTTTCTATGCTGTTGTTGTTGTTTTCAGCTGGTCGTGTGAAACCCAGGTATAATTGTAACGAATTGTGTGTGTCTTGCCGCAACTGTTTTAAACACTCAAGTTTAACACGGCTTTCCTGTAGATTTTAATGGCAGCAAAAGAGTCTCAACAGACATTGCTCATAAAAGAGTCTCAACAGACATTGCTCATAAAAGAGTCTCAACAGACATTGCTCATAAAAGAGTCTCAACAGACATTGCTCATAAAAGAGTCTCAACAGACATTGCTCATAAAAGAGTCTCAACAGACATTGCTCATAAAAGAGTCTCAACAGACATTGCTCATAAAAGAGTCTCAACAGACATTGCTTATAAAAGAGTCTCAACAGACATTGCTCATAAAAGAGTCTCAACAGACATTGCTCATACATGCATCAGTTAGTGTACTTGGTTAATCGAGGTTCTAGTAAGTGAACTGAAACCATTTCAGGCAAGACGTTGACACGCGGGGGCCTCGGTCTCCAGTGAAAAGTTGCGCTCTTTGCGGTGAGCCTGCATCAATGGCTCGTACATATGTATAACATTTGAGGCCGCACCATTACAGCGATGTAAATAATCATAAGACAATGTAGTGTACTTAAAATGTATCAACCTAAGCAAGACACCGTGCCTGCGTCAACAAATTTTATTATGCTAACCAAGAAAGTGTCATTTTTTTTAAATTTAAAAAAATTGTATTATCCTATATGACAGAGAAATTGAAGAGAAAAAAACACCTTTCAAATCCTACCTAAAGGCCTGCCTCCAAACGGACATATACAGACTGGCTTATATCAAAACAGACCTAATCTAAAAGATAGAAAAGTACAGCCACCCTTACATGCAAAGACAGCTGCAGAAGAAACAAAAAAACATAGCCTTCTACCCAAAGGAGATAATCCGAATTTACACAGACGCGTCAGCTTACAAAGGAGACCTACGTGCAGGCTTAAGGGTACGAATAGAGTACAAAGACCGATCACTTGACGAACCCTGCAACCGCCGTGGGGGGCGATCTGTGGTAATTGAGGAGCAGAAGCGATTGCTCTTGAGGCAGCATCGCATCACCTATCAGCAATCTTCACAGCTTATCCCAGCTAACAAAGGAAGTTCATTATGCTGTAAATATCCCTGAGCAAACAGTGAACTCGGTGCTTCTGAATCGAAACACTTTCCTTTTAACTTTTGAAGTCAAGCTAACCTTACAATGGATACCAGGGCACCACGATCCACCAGGGCACCACGATATACCAGGACAACACAATATACCAGAACACCACGATATACCAGGACACCACGATATACCAGGACAACACAATATACCAGGGCACCACGATATACAAGGACACCACGATATACCAGGACAACACAATATACCAGGGCACCACGATATACCAGGACACCATAATAAACCAGGACTCCACGATATACCAAGACACCACAATACACCAGGACACCACGATATACCAGGACACCACGATACACCAGGACACCACAATACACCAGGACACCACAATACACCAGGACACAACAATACACCAGGACACCACAATACACCAGAACACCACAAATACACCAGGACACCACAATACACCAGGACACCACAATACACCAGGACACCACAATACACCAATACACCACAATACATCGAGCAATGAAAGAGCAGACAAACTAGCCGACCAGGGAGGCGTCCAGTGAACAGTCCGAACTCCCTTATATCACACAACCCTGCCAACAGATTATCTGAGCTGACAAGAAAGAAAGTTGGTCAGTTAAATGGGTTGGCTCACACGCATGCCCAGCCCAGGCCCTAAAGATCCAATGAATTGCATCCAAAGACACCAACAGCTTATAATCTTTCGCATGCGCACAGGACACATACAGCTTAATTTCCACCTTAACCGCATAGCATCAGATAAAAAAACAATGTGCTGCCTCTGCAGAAATCTAAATGAGACAGTAGCCCTCACTTTTTTCACTGCTCAGCATATCAGGACTTACGCCTAAACTATACTTACCAAAAAAAACAGACTACATCAACATTATATATACCAACAGAGAATACCTGCGGAAGTGGGTACAGTCTTCACCATGGCCGGAGGTCGAAGGGCGTGTGCCCTAATGGCCACTGGAATAAATGATAATGACGACGCCTAACAGAGAAAAAGACCTTCATCAAGTAAGCGTATTACCCTTACGAAAGACGAAGCCGCACGCCAGTGAGTACTCACCAATTCCGTGACGCCGCACAGATTTAGAACCGCGTCATCCAACTCCCGCTGCGACACGAACACTAACGTCGCCTGGGAGTCGATCTTCTGATCCTTGCTGTCCACCGAGGCGTTCTTGTTGATGTCGTGGCTGCCACGCTCCATGCTCTCCGGTGAAGGCGACGTCTGGCACTCGCTCGAGAATTGAGAATGTGAAGTACCCTCCCTTGACCCTTCGGACGTCACGAAGTCTGTCGTGCCGCCGTCTCGGCTTGGTGAGGAGGAATTTGCACCGGAAGCCAAGTGTCGACCGATGCCGCGCTTCGGCGGCAGACCAATGGTGCCCGACGGGTGGGCTTGGGGCACCGGTACCAGCGATGACTTTGCGGGACAGCCGGAGCGAGTAGTTTCAACCCCGAATCCGTTCTGAATTAATCTCGTTCTCTCTTTACTAGCTCTCCTGTTGATGTTGTCTGAATTTATTTTACGGCCTGATGTGGACGACGATATCTTGTCTGCAGATTTTTGCGTTAAATATCGTTTTCGGGGACCTTTCTTCCTTTGAGTCGTTTCAATGTCCTTTCCGTCAAAAGATATTTTATCCGCACTTTCCAAACTTGACGTATAAATCGATCCGTTGGAGCGGGAGTCACTGTCGGCGTTCCGCCGTTTTGCAGACTGATTCCAGTTCTCGCAGACTTTCCTCGACGCGTTATTGTTTTCTTCAGCCTGCTCTTCTGTCGCCACCGTGATGCTGATAATTGGGTTGGAAAATCTCTGAGTCTCCCCCGCCGCCGCCGCCGCACTTCCGCCCGTACCGCTCTCGTCCTTCGCATCGGCCGCCCCCGTCTTCTCGCCTTCATCCTCATCCTCCTCGACGTCGAAGTCATCAAAGAGGCGCGCTCCTATATCGCTCTCGTTGGTCGCCGTGAGCTCGTCCACCCCAGCGCCCCGTTGCGCCTTGACCATGAAGTCTCGCCTCAACGCCAGCAGCTCGTCCAGCCGCTTCTGGATGCCCTCGTAGCTCTGGACGATCCGCGTGTGGTACTTGAGCAGCTGATTGACCTCGGTGCCCATGGCGACGGCGAAGCGGTCCAGGTTGTTGACGATGTGCGGCAGGCGGATAGCGATGGACGCCTTCCGGGTCGCCTCCTCGATGGCCGTGATTATCCTCTGAATGGAGAGGGGCACCATTGCTGTTTTGCTCTTCCCAAAGTCCAACGTTACCTCTTTCCGTTTGCTGCCGTCGACTCGTGGCGCTTGGAATTTCTTGAGAATATTCTGCTTCCGCCAATCCGGCTCTGTTGACCGCGTTATCCTCTTGGAAAGCCGAGACTCGCACTCGTCTTCCGTCTGTTCTTCAACAGCGGATAACTGAGCAAAGGTGCTTTTTCTCATAATTATTTCCTACTCCTCAAAGTTATTGTCGGAGTAGCGGAAGTTTGGCCACTGAATTTTTGATGAGAGAAATGGAGAGGGTTAATTGGTGTAGCTTACATAATGTATATAGTTGTGGTTGATTTTAAAATCCCCAGCTCTGGCTATTTGTAGCTGATCGACATTATAAGAATGCTTTAACCTTCAATGTGGTTTTAGAAAAAAAAAAGAAAAAAAGTTGTTTTAGACTCAGAGGAATTATTTTAATCACTTTAAAAACAATGTAACACATCTTTACATTCTTGTTCAGAGTATAGACCCGACCCTACAGTGTTGCGTACTTTTTAATTTTTTTTTATAAAAGCTCTAATGAGTCTTGAAAGCACATTTCACATTCCATAAATTCAGGCCTGCACAGCTTACGGCCCGCAGGCCGCATGAAGCCCGCCGGCCGCATGAAGCCCGCCGGCCGCATGAAGCCCGCCGGCCGCATGAAGCCCGCCGGCCGCATAAAGCCCGCCGGCCGCATGAAGCCCGCCGGCCGCATGAAGCCCGCCGGCCGCATGAAGCCCGCCGGCACCCACTTTGCGGCCCGCGAAGTAACGAAATATTCTTTTTTGTTATTATTTTCTTCACTGTTCTATTTTCTTTCGGCCCGCACAAGTTTTTCATAAAGTATTACGTTTTGAGTTGTGCAGGCCTGACATCCCAGTGTTTCTTTCAGAAAATCCCTCCCCCCCCCCCCCCCCCCGGGCTCCCATCTTTTGATTTATTGTTTGACATATTTTTGCTCCGGGGGGGCACTTGGCTTTCCCCGGGGGCGCACAGCTCCCCCCCCCCCCGAGATATAGTTGAAAGAAACCCTGTGCCTTACGTGATTCTTGGTGTGCGTGATTTTAGTCTACAATAATGTTTCTTTTAAAAAGACCGATGCCTAATAGTATTCACAATTTAGCATCAGGCCCGTTCTTAGGCATACGCTGACTACGCATCCGCGTAGGACCCCGAACGTGAGGGGGCCCCCGTAGGGCCGCTTAACACCTAAGAGATATAGCAATGATGCACACACACACCAATTATTGCTAGCCGGGGGGGGCGATCTCCTTCCTCAAAATAAGGAAATAAGTGCCACCAGAGGCATTCTTAGGCATACGGGCAAACTAGGCAACCGCCTAGGGCCCCACTACCACCTGCATGTC